TGATTATCACCAAGAATCAAGCATGCATATTACAGGAAAACATCGAACGAAGGTTTTGATACCACTGCTGGGATTCGACCTCATGCTTAAATTAGAAAATAGTCAAGAAATTAAAATATAACACATCGAAAAAATAAACTAGCATTTAATCAAAGAAGTAGCTGAATCCTACAAAATCAATAATTTTGTTTTTCATGTAACTTTCAAATTAATTATGAGCACTCATAAGTTTAGGAGTTACATACCTTACTCTAGATATCGTAATCAAGAGCCAATTAAATCCAAAATCTTTGTTTCTTCACCTTTAAGATTTGTCAAATCTTCAGCCACCCAAGTGTTTGGCCTTTAATAGTAATCCACACAGTGACTGAATAAGATCTTTTTCAAGGTAGGACTTTTGCTTGTACTGGCAAGTTTTATTTGTAAAACAAAAAGACTAAAAATTCTTGTCGAATCTTATTTTTGTCAGACAAAAAAAACTATTTTTTTTCTTATGTTATGAAACGATTAAGATGTCGTTGGAGGCTGATAGTTTTAGTTTGCTAACATAACATATTTATATAGTCAAACTAAGTTGTAACCCTAAAATACAATAATTGTATTTTAATTTAATTAAATCTTTGAGAATTTAATTAATTTCTCACTTTATTTTGGTCTTTTTCAATTAAGTCTAACTTAATTAATTATTCTTATTTAATTCCAATTATGTCACTTAATGTGTGTGACCCATTAGGCTTCTAACATGTAGGCAATAAGTATAAATCCTAATCAAATATTAATTTGATAATTGATTTATATTTATAGATCATAAGCAGCATCTAGCAATACATCATGACCACCCAAATGTTATAGAGTCAATTAAAGAATTTGATAAAGCTCTTCAGTAATAAGCCTTTCAATGCAATACAGTCATTTCATCAAATATTTTGGATATGTCATTAAGCATGGCTCGCTGTCTTCTTATGACATTCCATATTAGTTCTTATAATTTATGATTAACCTTATGAATTTAGAAAACTAACTTTTTTCAAATTCATCATGCTTTGGCCAAAGACTTTATACAAATTAATCAAGAATTGACAACAAGTGAGATATATCCTCTCATATCACTTGGAGTGATGAATCCTCTCTAGACTACTCATTCACTTCGCATGCTTCATGGCATACTTAAAAACACCCTATTTAGGCATTTGGTTGCTTCTCAACCCATAAAAGTGAAATTAAAGTATGTCATTCCCTGTACAAGATGACTTGATGTCTCAAGTCTGAGGACTAGTTGCACGATTATCACATGAGAATATTTTTCGTAGACATTTGAGGGAAATACCAAATGAAGTTCTCATAACAAGTCATGTTTAGTGAACTTGTTCTTTAACAAGCACTTATATATTATCCTCAAGTATCCCATTTACTTAAATCTATAAGATTGATTGCTTACTTTCCAAGTAAGGAGGCTTAACATGTACTAGTCTTTAAGTATTGTCAATGTCTGGTTTTGACAATACAATGACCATGAACAATTTTAGGAACATGTCTTTAATGCATAATGATCTCATAACTGTAATAACTTTACAATTTTCTTGCGAGGTTTTTATATTTCATGGGCTTCATCCAATTAGTACTTAATAACTCCTTATTATTGCACTAACATGAAAGAAAACTTATACCACATATAATTATGCGATTAAGTATACATTAAATGATAATATATTTTTCTTGACCAATCCAACTGACTCAAAGGTATGTACCAATAGTGTTTTTTCTGGCTTAATGCACTGATGAAATTAAAATTGCTTCTATTTTAGAATCCTTTGACAATTGTCAGAATGTAATGGAAGAAGGAAGCCTTTATTTTGTCCCTAACTTTGCGTTTGTTAGTCTTAGATTCCAGAATATATGCATTCTCTATGGCTTGTTGGTTACATCGACAGTATTGCATTTTTCAGCAACTAGTGATTGGATGACATGTAATTTAATTTTCGTTTATAAAATGCAACAGGTCATTACTTTATATGTGACGGGAACCTTAAATGCCATCCTATCAAAGGAGCATCAATATGAGATGTGCAGATATCTATACAACCATCAGGCAAGTAGATGTGCATTTTGTGTGTTTTTAAATTTCCATCAATTCTATATGTTGAGTGTATAGTATAACATGTACTCATAATGACATAATTATATCATTATTTTTTTCTGTTGGTGCTTTGGAATAATTTCTCGCATTAGTTGGGCATGTAATAACCAAGCAGAGTGCTATTTGGATCAAAGGAAAACTGAACCACTTAAGCCAAGGGCCTTTTCCCAACTACTCGCTGCCAGTTGGCATCGTCATTATCGATAAACAAATGAAGAAAATTGCCATGCTATAAGCCTTCTTGTTTTCTTGCAGAACGAAGATGGTGGTTGGGGTCTACATATTGAAGGCCCAAGCACTATGTTTGGTACTGTTTTAAATTATGTCACCTTGAGACTGCTTGGTGAAGGGGCTGAAGTGGGACAAGGGACAGTTGAGAAGGCACGTGAGTGGATTTTAGAACATGGTAGTGCAACTGCAATTGCGTCATGGGGAAAAATGTGGCTTTCGGTACAAATATTAGTTTTTCATTTGTTTATTTATTTATTTATTTATTTATAGTAAAGAGGTAAAACTTCGAAAACCTTTGCTAACCTTTTATTGATATTTTATCCTGATAGGTACTTGGTGCATATGAATGGTCAGGGAATAATCCACTGCCGCCGGAAGTATGGCTGTGTCCTTACTTTCTTCCAATTCATCCAGGTTTCTAATTAGTTTTTTATTGTGATCTTTTTAATTCTGCATAAAGCTAGGTGAATTGTTAGTGTCACTCTGGTTCTTTAGATGGAGCAGAATCTCCTTTGTCTATTCTATCATAAGATGTAAGGTCCCCATTGGATAATGCAGCAGATGTTACTAACATCAAATGTGTGAAAGCTGAAACATACGAGTTATGGCACTATCTTTCGTGATTAGATAACAACCAGCTAGGATTCCTTTGATATGCTAAAATACAGCTTATATGACAAAGGACAGTTATTATTTAAGTAGCAAGTTTATTTGTTCGCTTGAACTTTCCTTTGTTGAACCTTCTCCGTCTCGTTTTTCCTTTCTATTTTAGGAAATGGGTAACTAAACCATTAAAAAATGTGCAATCAAGGCTGAATTGCTTTGGCAAGGGCTAATGGCATACAACACTTGCAGATGTCAGCATCTCCAGTTTGCTGAGTTGGTGCCATGTAGATATGCTAGTTGCCTTGGCTTGGAAATAATATGTCGAAACCCAATCCTTAAAGCCGAACTGATGTTCAGCCAAGTCAAAGAGGGGAACAAAAAGAAGTCCAAACAAATGAAGATAAAAGAGTCTCCCTCTTTTTCTAGTGTTTTGAAGAGAGCGAGAGATACTTGATTGATTGTAAATGATTTAATAAGCTTCAGCAACTATGATGGTGGTCAAGATAGGCCGTTGTTGAGTCCTTGAATCCTTGGCCTTTGGGAAAATCAAGTGAAGGATTCAAGGCAAAATCTTTTGTAATTTTAGGGGAAGCTATTGGAAATGTGGAGGAAGGAAATGGCAAAGAAAGGAACAAACTGTCTTCATCGCATCACTGCATGAGTGCTTTTCTCCATGAAGTAGCTGTGAACCAAGTTGCTTTCTTTGTTGCTTTGAATAAATAAGAGCTTGATAATGAAAAATTTTGATGTTTGTTCTTTATAAAATTACTTTTGACTTTTACTAAATCAAGGAGGAGAAAGAGGAGCAGCTGTCTGTTCTTTCTTTTATTGGGTTATGGCTTGCAAAATGGTATGGCCTAGGGGCCTGAGATGTTCGTTCCGCTTCTTAGCTAATTCAGTAGCAGATTGGAATTGGTTGCATTTTTTAAATTGGTTCAGGTACTTGATTTCCCACGAATGTAAAGTTTGGAATCTAGATTGATTGAGTGAAGTTTCAGGTAGAAGAGTAGCCTCCCCAGTGCTGGAGTTAATGATAGAGTAGAGGAATAAAGTTGTTTGTTTTAGTCATCCATCATCATCTTTTTTTCGTTTTAATTTTAGACAAGACCATTCATGTTCTGGGGGGGGGGGGGGGGGGATCTTGTTTCCTATTTTCCAGCCAGTTTCAACTTTCAAGGCTTTCTTATAGCGATAACTCTTTTTTTTAGTCTTGGTCCTTGGTGGGTTTGTGCATAAATCGCAAATATTTTGATGTTTTCCATTTGCTTCTGTTTCACTTTAACTTCATTGACCCAGTTCTGACAAAAATTAGTTAGAAAATTGGCACCCTTTACAGGTTCTGCCTCTTGCAAAGGTTTTACTTGCTATTACTCTTGACAATGATTTCTTATATTTCTCTAGGAAGGATGTGGTGTCACTGTCGAATGGCGTATTTGCCAATGTCTTATTTGTACGGGAAGAGGTTTGTGGGTCCTATCACGCCCATAATTCTATCATTGAGAAAAGAGCTCTATGCTGTTCCTTACCACGAAGTAGATTGGCATAGAGCTCGCAAGACATGTGCCAAGGTAGGTTAAACGGCTGCCTCTTGCAAAGATCTACGCTTTCCAGAGCAAATTTTTGCAATGATACTGCTTTTATGTTATTTCATGTGGTTAATCCTTTGCTTTTCTAAAGTTTTGATGTTTCAAATCATTTTTAAAACATTCTTTGGTTGAATGCTTCGTTACTTTATTACGTCAGTTGTTCATTCCCAAGTTGCTAATAGCATATGCAAGGCAGTTGACAGCAATGCATTTTTAATTGAAATCATATGTAGCAGAAAATTTTTCATGCCAATACAGAGAGATTAGATAGGATTTGCCTGAAATATTTAAGAAAATAGGATAAAATTATATTTGCATATGCATTTCATTGTCAAATTAGAGATTACTAGTAAGATGTGCCTAGATTATGGGGTTTTTTTTTTTGTTTAATTTTATTTAAGTTCAGCATAACAGCTTTTTTCATGTTACATCATGTCTTCTGATTTTATGATTGGCACTTTATTTCTTCTTCCTTTTTTCTTTTCCAAATCCTTTTAGGAAGATCTATACTATCCACATCCGCTGGTTCAGGATATTCTTTGGGCATCTCTCCACTATTTATATGAGCCTATTTTTACATGGTGGCCTTGTAAAATCTTGAGGGAGAAGGCTTTGCGTACTGTCATGCAGCACATACACTATGAAGATGAGAATACTCGGTATATATGCTTAGGGTCTGTAAACAAGGTATGTTTGTAGAATGGTTGCAATGATCCCAAGATTTTGATGTGGAAGAGAGCACACTTTTTTCACCTAATTGCAATCAATGAAGGGGAGGGAAATTTTAGATATTCATCTCACTTGGCTAATAATAGGCTGCTTCTTTAGTGGTAAGATTCTGGAGTGATGCTCAGAGGGCCATGAACCGTATCCAACCTTTCACTCCATGGAGTTTCTGATTTCCTATAACTCTAATCTGCAGGTCTTGAATATGCTTTGCTGTTGGGTGGAAGATCCATATTCAGAGTCATTCAAACTGCATCTTCCTAGGATCTTAGATTGTCTGTGGATAGCTGAAGATGGTATGAAGATGCAGGTCCTGAACAATATTGACCCTTCTGATTCTTAAATTTTAATCTTTCTCCTCATCCAGTAACTTTCTCGTCTTATTGCAGTTCTAATATGGTAATATCTTGCCTTAGTTCACTATTTTAGTAGTGAACTATGCCAGGGAAAGAAATACAGGAAAATCATACTGTGATGCTAAGATAACTTGATTTCTTTTAATAATTTCATTGCAGGGTAATAATGGAACTCAATTATGGGATACTGCTTTCGCTGTTCAAGCTATCATTTCCACTGGTCTTGCTGATGAATATGGTCCAATTTTAAGAAAAGCACATGATTTCATAAAATATTCCCAGGTTTTTATTTTTAGAAATCAGAATTTTATAGTCTCTCATTATGTCCTCAACTTGATTAGTTTTCCTGTGCTGTCAGATTTTAGAGGATTGTCCTGGAGACCTAAATTTCTGGTACCGTCATATTTCAAAAGGTGCTTGGCCACTCTCAACGGTAGATCATGGATGGGCCGTCTCAGACTGCACAGCAGAGGGATTGAAGGTCCAAATAGTGAACAACCTAAAGTGGACTTCCAACTCTGAAATGTATTTTAGGTTTGAGTAATATCAATTTCCTTGTACAGGCTGTGCTGTTGTTATCAACGCTACCTTCAGAATCTGTTGGGGAACCTTTACATATAATGCGGTTATATGATGCTGTTAATGCTATCCTTTCCTTACAGGTATGTGGGGTGTTACACTGGTATTAGTGTTTGAATTTCTCCAAGAAGTGAACTGATGGGTATAGAAAATTAATAATTGGTGAATATTGGCGCTACAAAAGGAGGAAACTTGCAAAAACGTTTGACATAGTGATTACAGATATAATGATTTATGGTTTTCCAGAATTAGGCAGAACAGGAGAGTTTGATTCTCTTAATTTTCCCCTGCCAGGGCTATCAGAAAGTTATTTGTATAAGGTGGGGCTGATTTGTGGTATTTAAATGTTCATTTCAGTAGCTTCTATCCAGTTGGCCACCTAGTTGTAAGTAATAATATTTATGGATCTTTTGGGTTTCTAGTGGACTAATCTTGAGACAAGCTAAGTCTCATGCCTTGCACCTCCATATTCTTTGTCATTTTCTCATAAAAACTATTGACCAAGAAGACTTGCAGTGCTTGCTAACAGGGTCTATTCCTTTTACTTGGAGCCTTCTCTTATTCCTTTGTTAGCTCTGTGGGTGACTTAAAAAGTCATCAATGTCATTGTAACCTGATGTCGGCTTTTCCGCTTAAGGAAGATTGAGGTCCTCAGTTTGGGTTTAGGCACCAGAGTTGGGGTAGGTAAAGGGCTGGGAGATATCATCTCCCATTATGTAACCCAATCATGACTTAAAAGGAAAAAAAAGCTTGAATAGTCTTGGCCAACTATGTACAGACAAAACTATGATAGAATATGGTAGAGAGTTATAAACTTGGTTTCAAACATATAGATAATACTTTTGATCTTTCATGATAATAAACTGCTTATTGCCTGAATCAGTTTCTGAAACAAATTCAAAAAAAAAAAAAGAGTACGATATGCATCCCATTTTAGTTTCAGTATTGCGTAGTACATACATACCAGTAACTTGCAGTGATCTCCATGACCAACTCACTTTGTGTCAAAGTTTGATGGGATATTTCTGAATTCTGGTTATACTCTATAAATTCCCTAAAATTTGACTACATTTGGGATCACTGCAGAATGTTGATGGTGGCTTTTCAACTTTTGAATTGACAAGATCCTATCAGTGGTTGGAGGTAAGAAGTTGACATGTAAATGGCCTTTATGCTTTCCCCTGTTCATATCAAGCACACACAAAACACGTACAGAACACAAGCACACAAAGACACGCATGTGGACATGCACACACATATATTAACAAAAAAAAGTGAAAATATGCTTTTCACCATGGTTTCTTATACTTAAAACAAATAATAGCCTCAACTACCCAAAAAAATAAGTAAAGAAATGAAGGGGCTTTTCTTTGACTGAATTTTTGTTAGCCATAGTCATTAAGCGTGGCATTGATGACACTCATGTTGATCTGCAGCTGAAAAACAGTAAGAATTAACGTATTTGAAACAGTTTTGGTCAGTTATATGGCCCCAAGAAATAAAAGTAAAAGACAGAAAATACTTGACATTGAAATTTTGTACCAAGGTTACTAGAGGATACCAAATACCAAATTGTATAGAATAAAAATCAATGACATTGAAGACTTCACATGTACGGGGGAATACCAAATGTCTCACAACTCTTGAACTGAAAATATTGCAAAAAATTGAATAGCTGATTTACTATAATTTTTTTTCTTAAAAAAAAAAAAGAGAACAAAATATGTAGTGCTCTCTATAATTTATTGGAACCGGGGAAAAAATGAAGTTAGAGTAAAACAATGCTTCTTGAAATGAATTCACAGTTTAGGAAGGATTGAGTTAATGTAACTGCAATATACGGTTTGTCCTTGGTTTAGTGCTAACACGTGTTTGCTTTACTATTATTAATTGCCATCAAAACAAATCTAACACTTATGATTGTCAAATGATTTTGCATTATTTTCTTGCAATGCAGTGAGTATGATTTCATTGTTTCATTGTTTCATTGCTTTCCCTGCTTTCAGGTACTCAATCCTGCTGAAACTTTTGGTGACATAGTTATCGATTACCCGTAAGCTCCTAGCATACTTCATTTTCTGTTTTTAGACAATCTATAATTAAACAATGGAATGGCATTCTGATTTGATGCTTACGGAGTGGCAATGTAGATATGTTGAATGTACCTCATCAGCAATTCAGGCACTAATCTCATTCAAGAAATTGTTTCCTGAGCATAGGATGGAAGAAATTGAAAATTGTATTGGTAGAGCTGTGGAGTTTATCGAAAAGAAACAGGCTGCAGATGGCTCCTGGTTTGTTTATATATTAGTCCAAAATCTATATCTTATACATGTTTGGTTTATATTATTTGTCTATATCTGTAATTACCATTTCTGCTATTTTTATAATTTCTCCAACATTGCCTACTTAGTATATTATTTCTGAAGCACTGACTTGGAGCTGTCACTTTGAAATTATTTATACCAACTAATGTAGGTTTTGATAGGTATGGATCCTGGGGAGTTTGCTTCACTTACGGTGGATGGTTTGGAATAAAGGGGCTATCTGCTGCTGGTAGAACATACAATAATAGCTCTAACATTCGTAAAGCACGTGATTTTCTGTTGTCCAAAGAGCTTGCAACAGGTGGTTGGGGGGAGAGTTACTCGTCATGTCAGAACAAGGTTTTGATCAGTCCTTTCCGAAATTTCATTTCTATATCCTTTGATAAACATGACTGACTTTATTGAATCCCTCCTGGAATAAATGTCTCTTTACGAGCTTGCTAATTATGCTTATGTGAAATTTGGTTTAATATACATACATACATCCATCCATACATTACATATATTTATATATCATACGCATATAGAAAAAAAGAGCAAAAAAAAAGGTCCCACATGCTTGAATCTTAAAACAAATTAAACCAAACTTTGTTAGCAAAGCACGTTGAATGGTCAAAGATTTGTTTTGCTTATTTTGTTTGTGGTTTTCAGAAAATTTCAAGTTTTCAATATTTTCATATCTAGTAACTGATGTTACTATCTGGATTAATTTGTACAAAATTAAGTTGAATAGTTTGATACATAAACAATGTTGTTTTACCTGCATAATATGATCATTTTTTGTCATTAAATAATTTAAATGGACAATTTTGTATGAGAAGTATATGAAATTAAAAGTTTTTTATCCTTATAAATGTGTTTATCTTTTTTTTTAAAATTTCTATAATAAAAAGAAAGACCCATTCATAAAACCATAGCATTTATATCTAAAGTTATGTAACAGGCTGTTTGCCCCCGATTGTTTGCTTCTTTAACAATTACAGCACACAAGTTGCTCCACATTTAAGTAGGTGTAAAGTACATGAAGCACAGGTAATTAACTTGGGATGAGATGCATTCTGCTTCTCTCTGACCAAGTTCACGAGAGAACCAACTAATTTATGTTGTGAGGATATGGAGATCACTGGTCGTGCAAATTCATCAATTGAGTTTGAATTGCTGTCCTCCTAAACATTCTATGTAATTCATCGACTATTCTTTTCATATAATATAACTATATATAAACTTAAGAAAAACATACGTAATTGTAACTTGGTGCAACTCATTGAATGATAACATTATAGCCAATTCTTATATTCATCGTCCATTTTGACTATGAACAAACACCCCTTTTCACATAAAATGGACACCAACTATGACTTCTGGCGTCTAATTGTCTAAAGTGTCAACAATCTTTCAAAAGTTGATAATTTGTCTGAATTTCCCGAGAGAGATTTTTACAAAATCAAAACCAGTAGTCTGATAACATTGCAGTAAGCCTCTGATGAGAGTGTTGATGAGTACTGCATGCTAAATAAGAAAAAAGTACGTTGATAATAAGAAGAAGTTTTCTTTTCATTATATTGAGCTTGTAATAGCTTTTGTTTGAATATTTTTTCAACATTTTGTTTCTTGAAGAGCGTTGTTCATTGAATGGAGAATTCTAATTGCTTTATCGTAGTTGTTGATGACTTGATGGATTGTTTTGAGTTCCACTGGCTGGCGCTCTCCTTTTGCATTCAATGGAAACGGTCTGATTGAGAACCATCAATATAGAAATTCGGATTCCTAAATTACATACTCATAAGAGGGGAATATTTAACTATTTATTGCTACAGCTCATGGTTTTACTCTGCTTGCTTCTTGTGTCTGAACCATTCAGTTCTCTTCTTTTCCAATAGGTTTATACAAATCTTGAGGGTGCTCGGCGACACATTGTTAATACCAGTTGGGCTTTGCTGGCCCTTATAGAAGCAGGCCAGGTACATATGCATAAATTATTCTAAAAGTTTTTGCTTGCTAATTAGAATTCCTAAATGTATCAACTCTTAAATGTCTATTTTTTGTTTAAAGAGGAGATAGAAAGGGTTTTTTTTTTTTTACTCTTCTCATTTGTTATACCATATTATGCTTTTATATTTTATTTATTTATATAATTTTGTTGAGAGGCAAAAACCAAGATGAGAGTTTTTAATTCTCATTCATGAAATTCTTATTTACAACAGCCTATATGTATATACACGTTAACTCTAAAACGGCCCTAAAACAGGAAGTGATCACAAATATAGAAAGTAGAATATTAAGCCCTAATAATCAGACATTAATTCAAAATATAATTATTATTCCTAAAAGTCCTCCATTAGTCAACACTCACCCTCAAGTTGGTGGATAGCTGTCACATATGCCGAACTTGCAAACTAGTGTATGAAATTGTCTATTGCTAAGTCTTTAAGTAAACACATCAACTAGTTGTTTTTTGAGGTCACATAAGAAACATTCAAAAAGCCATCTATTATTTTTTCTTTTGTGAAATGTTGTTCAATCTCTATATGTTTTGTTTGATCATGTTAAACCGGATTGTGAGCTATACTAATAGCAGACTTGTTATCATAGAACAAGGATAGACAATTCCCTTCTGACAATCGCAATTCTTCCATTACTTTTTGCAGCCATAGCAATTCCCAAACACCTTATGCCATAGCTTTATATTTTGCTTCTGTTCTTGGTTGAGCTACCATATTTTGTTTTTGCTCCTCCAAGTAACTAAATTTTCACCTACAAATGTGCAATCACCAAATGTTGACCTCTTATTGTCAAGAGATCTAGCCCAATCTACATCTATAAACGCTTTTATCTTTAACTGACTATGCTTAGAAAAGAAATATCTTTTTCCAGGTGTAGATTTTAGGTATCTTAAAATCTTGAAAACAACCTCTTGATGAGAATCTTGAGGGTCATGCATTTATTGACTTACCAAACTTATGGCATAGGTTATATTTGGTCTAGTGTGTGAGAGGTAAATCAATCTCCCAACCAACCTTTGATATCGACCTAAATCAACTGACTCACTAACTCCTTGTAATTTGTGATTAGCTTCAATTGGAGAGTCTGCAGGTTTACATCCCTACATGCTGGTTTCTTCAAAGAGATCCAAAATATATTTCCTTTTAAAAATAACGATCTCCTAATCTGATCTAGCAACCTCTATTCTAAGGAAATATTGCAACTTACCCAAATCCTTAATCTTAAACTCCTAAGCTAAAAGTTTTCTGAGTCGAGCAATTTCCTCTTTATCATCCCTTATTCACAACTATACATCATTATACACAATAAGTAATGTGATATTACCACTACAGTGTTTAATAAACAAGGTATTATCAACATTGCTTTGATGATATCCAAATGAGATCATGGTCTTATTGAACCTATCAAACCATGTCCTAGGTGACTATTTTAAACCATAATATGCCTTCTTTAATTTACAAACCTTCCCTTTAGTCTTCTTATCATCAAATTCTTGAGGAATTTTCATATACACCTTTTCCTCCAAGTCTCCATGTAGTAAGGCATTCTTGACATCAAATTGTTTTAGGTCCCAATCAAAGTTAACTACACATGATAACATGATTATGATATTATTCATTTTTGCAACAGGAGAAAAGTCTCTTGATAGTCTACCCCATAGGTCTAGGTGGAGCCCTTTACCACTAGTTTAGCTTTGTACCTTTCGACCGAACCATCTGCCTTATGTTTCACTATAAACACCTATTTGGATCCAACTACTTGCTTTCCCAATGGGGAAGTAACAAGTTTCTAAGTCTCATTTTTTGCCAAAGCCTTTATCACTTCAACCATTGCCACTTTCCATTTTAGATCGAGATATGCTTCTTGCCAACCTTGTGGAATAGAAACAAAAGAAATAGACAATACAAAAGCTCTATTGGAAGGAGACAAAGAATCATAGGAAACAAAGTTAGAAATAGGATGTTTAGTATAAGCTCTAACTCCTTTTTTGATAACAATAAAAACATCAAGATCATTAGCTATGGGATTAGAATTAGGGCAATCAAAAGTTAAATGAGACTTACCACATGTATTTTCAGGGGCTGAACTCGGAGATGGCACTTGATCAGGTATTACATGCTTGATGGCTTTATCTGTCTTGTCTTGTCATGTGTAGGTTTTCAAATCTAGCCTATCCAGTCATCCTGTTTTAGGTTGTTCCTTGTCATCACTAGGATTTTGACTAAAATAGGTATAAGGGCAGTTACTATCACCTCCACCTCTTCCTCCTTATTCTCTTCTTGAAAATGTGATTGAGGTGTATAAAAGTAAGGCTTAAACTCCCTAAAGGTAACATCCATACTCACAAAATACTTTCTTAAGGGTAGATGATAACACTTATACCTTTTTTCAGTTGTAGCGTAGCTAACAAACACACATTTAAGGGCCCTAGGTTCTAACTTACCAACATTCCTCTTGTGAACAAAACACACACCTCAAAATTTTTGAAAGAACAATATATGAGTTACTACCTTGTAGAACTTCTAAAGGACTCTTAAAATTAAGTGTTTCTAGAGACATTTTGTTAATAAGGTATGTGGTTGAAAGTACAACATCGACCCAGCAAACTTTTGGAACATTCATAGTAAACATGAGAGATCGGGCCATTTCTACTAAATATATATTCTTCCTTTCAGACACTCCATTTTGTGCACTAGTATCGACACAACTAGTTCGGTGCAATATCTTATTGGAATTTAGATATGCACTAAAGACACCATTCATGTATTTTGTACCATTGTTAGTTTTCAGAATCTTAATCTTGGCATCAAATTGTGTACAAATCATTTTGTGAAATAATTCAAAACAAGAAAAAATCTCATTCTTTGCTTTCATCAATTAAACCCAAGTTAATCTAGTACAACAATCGATAAAAGTAACAAATCATCTTTAATTGGACAGAAAAACCCTATACATCAGAATGAATAGTCATAAAAGAAACTGAACTCTTATTATTAATTGAAGGATAAGAATGTTTGGTGTGTTTAGGAAAGTCACAAGCATCAAAAAATAATAAATCCAACTTGCATTGTTTAAACAAACTAGGATATAATCTTTCTAAAAACAAAAAAGATGGGTGTCCTAATCGTTTATGCCACTAGATTATTTCTTAGTTAACATCGATAGATTCTCTTATCAAGGTTCGAGTTATACTAAGAATCAAGGTACTACATCCTTCCTCTAATATATACAAGCCATCTTGCAATCTACCAAAGCCAATCTTTCTCCGTGTTTTCAAGTCTTGAAAAAACACAATGAATAGAAAAGAATTCAATTTTGCAATCAAGTGTTTTTGTAATTGAACTAACAGATAAAAAGTTAATAGGAAAACTATGAACATGAAGGATTGAAAATAGATTAAAGGTGGGAGTTCATTTAATAGAACCTGTTCCAAATATAGAAGTTAAAGATCCATCCACTGTACAGACTTTATCATTGGTTAAACATGGAGAATAAGTTTAAAATCATATATGCACTCCTTTTCCTCTAATTTTATGGAATTTTGTTTCATCTTCAAAACATTCTGCTTGGAAATCTTGGTAATAGTCGAGTTCTTGCCATAAACTAGTTAATTTAGTAAAGTATTGAGCAATAATCATCTCACCTAGTTTGATCTCATGCACCTTGTTGTCGAATTTGGACACGCTAGTGTACGTATCGAATAAGTAACATAGTGATGAAGTAAAGTATCGTTCCCACGAAGATTTGTTTTTAAAGTTTCATTAAGTACCAAAATTATAAAACAAATTACTCTTATTTAAGTAATCCTAAAATTAAGAAAAACCAATTGAAAATAATTAAAAATCAACACAAAATAAACTAATGGACTAAATAAGTTTAGAAAAGCATTATATTAAAGACCTAGTATTATGGATTCATTCAACATTTCATCTAATGCTAACTTTTCTTATTATTTATCTTTCTTGGGTGATTTTACTAACCTAGAATCCAAAGCTATGGGCAAGTTTTCATCAAGTTACTCATACAAATACCTAACTTAATTAATTCACTATATGTTTATACCAAAATTACACTCATTCATAATAAATAAAAGAGAAACTAATATTCAAACTATATGTTGAAATCTACCACAATCCTAGAAAAAAAGTTTAGCTTATAATAACTAATAAAAATAACATCTAAAGAAATTTAGCCGTAAATCTAAGTCAAAAAATAAAAAAAATACAGAAGTAGAGAGAAATTAATTATTGAAGCTTTGCAATCTTAATTCTCTCTCAAATTCTCTTGCTTTCTTGCTCTATTCTTGGCCCTAAATCTTTAGAATAATTGCTTGCTACCTCTTTTTAAAAATTTTAAAAAAGGTCACCTAAATAGGCTCCAAATAACCTAATTTTTAAAATTCCATTAAATTTTACCTCTCCTGTGCCACAACCTTGATTTCTTGGCACCGCAACATTGAATTTTTGCCTTGGGAGCACCGCAGCGCTACTCTTTTAGCTTTGAGATGACACCGACCACTTATGTAGTATGTTTGTAAAATGGCAATTCTAATATGTTCGCAAAATAGGTTCTAGGCATAAAGAGGATTCACGACCTAAATTCTAACAGGGGATGTGCAAACTAAAGTTTTCTTTGGTTATTGCTTTGTTCCTTTTTCACTTTCAGAAGTGCAAACTAAAGAATATAATTTAAAATAGAGAAGTTAACTTTCATAAACACCAAAATGCATGATCTTACTTTTTGTTGAACAATTATGTTTAAATTGATGTTACATTTTCCCCATATATTCATTCTTAGGATGCTTTTGGCTTTTTACCATTGCTTTTGCTTTGTAGCAAATTTAGAGAAAGCTAAACTCGAATAATAAAATACAAATAGCGAAAGCAAAAACCAAAGAGAGCCTAAATAAATATGTTTAATATAGCCTGAGAAGGTTCACTTAGCACTTGGTCCTCATTTTTCAAATTTGCTAGGGCCTAATACTCATCCATATTCAAACCATATAAGGCCTAGGTCTCCTTTCTTCTGATATTATATGCTCACTCTTTATGTTGAAATTGTTCTGCAAAATTCAAGATGCATAACAATGTTTACTGTGGTACTTCAGTGTATTTGTTCAATGTGTTTATTCGGTTTACATATTTTTAGGACTTCATAAATGCTTCAGTTTCAATATACAAACCTCACTTATAATTTTATTATTCTGTGGTAACTACTAACTCTTCCACAATGAAAGGCTGAGAGAGATCCGACACCATTGCATCGTGCTGCAAGGGTATTAATTAACTCTCAAATGGAGGATGGGGACTTTCCTCAAGAGGTAAAGATGGGCTTTCTTTTTTTACATTATAGTCAGAGAAGATAATCATGCCTGGAGCAATAATTTAATCATATCTGTCTAAGAAAAGTGGAAGTAGCAAGTTATGTTTCTTCAGTGCTTTGCAAATTACTAAAGTCCATCCCGGTTCAATAGTCTGCAAGTAAAAAATGATTCAGTAACAGACAGTAAATAATGTTTTTGCATGCTATATGGAATAACAAGGAGAAACTTGTAAGTAAAGAATGCATCTAGTGTTTCAGTACTGTTTGAGCAAACAAACATGAAGAGCCTGATCAAGAAGCTTGCATTTCAACAAGTTCTTTCAGTGGCATAGCTTACTTATATCACTTTGTTCAAAGAGTGATAATATTGGAAGTTCATTTCCAAAACCATATGTGTGCATGCACTTTCTGATTGCTTTCTAACATTTCCCTATCATAGGAGATCATGGGAGTCTTCAATAAGAACTGTATGATTAGCTACTCCGCATATCGAAACATTTTCCCGATATGGGCACTTGGAGAATACACCTGCCGAGTGTTGCGGGCCCCTTGAGATTTTACCGCTATTGATAAAAATGATCGGAATAAATAAGTTCCTTAACAAGACATAACACTCAAAAAAATCTTTAGACTTATTTAAGAAAAAAAAAATTTTTTATTTTTTTTGTCTGTGTTCAATTAAACTCATATATTTTTATTTTAGACTAAATAAGTATTTATGATTAATAATTAATTAATTATCATTTTATGTTCATGTGGTATTGAAGTGGATGATGAAAATATCACATAGTTATATTATTTTTAGTAACAGAATAGAGAGAAGAGAGAAAAGCGGCTAAGGTGAAATTGGGGAGTTATTTGAGCTTATTGACGAAGTTATCAACAAAATTTTTGTTGGTAAGTTTAAAAGTCCTAAAAGACTATTATTGATGAAAATTTCATTAGTAACTCAACAAAATTATAAAAGAACACTCTCAAGGGAAATTTCGTTAGTAATGTAAATGGGTTACAGATTGAATAGTCTTTCAAAAAATCTATCAAAAAATTCTATTGGTGATCATCAATAAATAATCAATAAATAATCAATTATTTGTCGATGAAACTCTTTTCGTCGGGTAATTTCATTAATAAATCTCATTGATAGTACATGTAACACAATCTTGTTGAAAACTAATTAGTAATTTGTTGATAATTGCCGATGGAATTGATTTTGTCGCTGAAAGCTCCTTTTTATAGTGAAATACACTATCTTTGAGTCATTTATGCAAAAGAACGAAATGTGTGTTTTTTGCACGGTGCAAGGGAGAGAGGCAACGGGTGGCTGCAAGTGGTTCTTGTAATAGTCGACAAACTTGCTTTTTGACTTTTGATTTTCATTCTAATTTGTTTTTTATTTAAAATTTTAGTCACAGTAATAATAATAATAATAAAATTTCATAATGACAAAAGCAAAAGCTCATTGGGTTTAATGGGCTCTAGAAACAAGAGAATGGAATTTAAGTCCAGTCCAAAGGAAAGAAAAATGGGATTGGATTGGGTCCATAGCTCAATTTTAGAACCAAACCTAATATGAACAAGACCCAAAGAAACCAAGCAGATCAAAAAATTTGAGCTTAAAGAGGCTTAAATCATTTAGGCATTAACAATTAAATAAAATACAATAAAGTAAATAAAAAAAACAAAACAAATGAAATACAAACAAAATGGGGTGTTGACAATGTCCAATATTAATTTTAGTTTCCACTTTCGTTAGATGATAAACCAAACTTTGATGGCTGAAAATGGACAATCGTTATCGCCCTTTTAGCATGATGCACCGTATTTATGGCACTAAGTTGAATTGATTGGTCATTAGATGTGATATGCTCTATTTCTTTATATTGAATCGTTTGTGCGTGACATTAGTTCAGGAAGGACTTGGGCTTGGAGGAGGTGTAGCAGCTAGAAATTGAAATTGGGGAACATAACAAGCAAAAAATTGGCATCATTAGGTTTAAAAGAGTTCTGTTTTGCTTAAAGCCGATTATACTTGACTTAAGCATTTCTATACTTGATTATATTATTGGCAAGCAAGCAATAATTTTTTCCTTATTTTAAAGAATTTATCATCCATGACAATATAGGCATTGCATAACCCACTTTCTATAAATTTATAATATTCAACCATCGTGGAATTGGTGGCAGCAGATTATATACTCATGTAAGTTTCAACTATCAAATAGCTTTCGTTTATACGTACACCACTCATTATTGAAATTTGCATAAATTAATTTGGTCAAACTAGTAAGGGATAGTAGGAATAATTGAAAGATTTTTTTAAAGAAAAAAAAACCAACAAGAAAGTAAGGAAAATAGAAAAAATATGTAGAGAAGTTTTAAAGGAAATGAGAGAACTATTAGTGAGGAAAAATAAAATTATACACCAAAGTAAAAAATTATACTTGAGCCTAGCCCAAGCATATACTTGCTTGCAGCAGGAATTTGCATTTTCTCAAGTCCTGGTCCAATCTTGTGTGCATGCAAGACCTCTTTCTTTTCTTACTTACAACAAGTCTATTATGAGTTTTCATATATAAGACACTTACCTCTCTTGTACCTTGGCAATGTGGGATGTTGAAATCTTATGAAATACATTATTTTTCTAACAATTCCCCAATCTTTCATTTCATAGGAAGTTTTTACTAGGTCAAATTTCATTTGAGTGTAATGCATCATGATTGATACTTTTTAAGTTACGAACTAGCTCTAGAGAGAATGAAATATAAATCATAGAATTTTGGTGAAGCTTGTAACTCCTATGAACCAAAAATTCTTTATGTGAGATATGATTTTCATCAATCACATTACACTCCCACAATTTTTGCTGTTTAACACGATTTTGCATGAATAGGCCATGCATGTGTCTGGTTATTTGTAAATGCTTTAGTGAACTTGCCACAATTCTCATAGAAGTGGCCCCACTTTACACTTATATAGGTAATTTTGTCAAGTGTATACTGCAGTTTAATACACTACCCATAAAAGATATGGAACTTATTTAAAATTTAACTTAACCACTTATTCATTGTAGTCTTTCACTATTTACACACGATAGGAGGGACAATGATTTTTAATAGTGCATCAATTTATCAACAAAAATCTTGTTATTACTCATATAAACTTAATTCATGGGATCTCTAATCGCAGAGGTTGAGTGACCATTATTTGTTGATTTTCTCAATTGGCTTAAGTCCCATTCCCCTCGATGTATCATTAATCAATTTTCTTCTTAGGGTTTAGTTAGAGAATTGCTTAAATTCAACTTTGACTTTATATAATTAATGGACAAAATTTCATCTTTAAGCAATTGCTTTACTACATCATGTCTTAAACGAATATGTCTATTCTTACCATTGAAAGTTTTATTCTTTGTAATGGTTATTGCTACTTGGCAATTACAATGCATAGACACAGAAGGTGTTGGTTTCAGTCCCAACAAAATATTAGCTAAGAGGTTTCTTAACCACTCAACCTCATGGTTAGCCAACTCTAAAGCTTCAAATTCTGACTCCATTGTAGATTTAGCAATTATTGTTTGTTTGGTTGATTTCCAAGTTATAGCACCTCCATCAAAGGTGAATACATAACCACTTGTAGATTTTGTCCTATCTGAATCTGAGATCTAGTTAGCATCACTGGATCCTTCTAATACAACGAGAAATCCATTATATGAAATACTATAGTTTATGGTACCTCTCAAGTATTTCATTACTTTGCTCAAGGCAATCCAATGATTTTAACTAAGACTTTGTTATATCTGCTCAGTCTACACATGACATAAGCTATATCAGCTCAAGTATAATTCATCAAATGCATCAAACTTCCAATAATCTAAGCATGCTTAGATTAAGCCATATTATCACCTTTATTCTTCTTTAATTAGATAATACCATCATAAGGAGTATTCATAGGTGTGAAATCAAAATGTCCAAAATTTTTAAGTAGCCTCTTAATATAATGCTCTTGTGTTCGCATTAAGCCTCTTTCACATCTTATGATTTTAATACCCAAAATAACATTGGTTTCTCCCAGATTGTTTATATCAAATTTAAAAGCCAAAAAACACTTTGTTTTATTGACCATATCAATGCATGTACCAAAACTAAGCATATCATCAACATATAAACTAGTAATCACATATTCATTATCAATAGTTTTTGTGTATACACATTTATGAACTCCAATAGTAGCAAATCTATTATTAACAAGAACTTGATCAAATTTCTCATGAAATTGTTTTGGTGCTTGGTTCAAGCCATATAAAGGTTTAATAAATTTACAAACTTTGTTTATTAGTCCCAATGGAGTGCTAGACGGGGGTGAATAGCACTAAAATTTTAAGCTCGGCCCATTTTTGAAAGATAAAGCTTTTAATTGATTAAAGAAAAATGAATATAAAGCTTTTAGTGGCCAAAAGACACCAAGTAAGGAAGGGTAAAGAAATATGGATAATGCAAAGCTATTTCTAATGGTTTGGTTCGTTTGACCTACATCCAATACCTTGATCTTCAAAGCAAAGATTTTAACCCAACTTCACTAAATCAATGGAATTAATAGCTTCCATCAAGCTTTACAAGGTGAGCTTCTAATCCAAGCTCTAATCCCTTACAACAAGCTTTAGAGTGTTTCCTATACTCTAATTTTCTAAGAAAAAGAAGAAAAAGAAGTATAACTAAGTACCTTTATAAGTTTAGATAGATTACAATCAAGCTCAAATACTTTTCTGGTTTTTGATGAAGGATATTTGGCTTTTTGCTCAAAAAGGCTATTTTTTCTTCAAATCTACCTTTTTGAACCATTAGAGGTTCCTTTATACTTAGGGAGTTAGATTTTTCTATTAGAGATAGTTTTTAACCGTTAGAAACTACTCTGATGCACTTCTAATCGTTATTTTGTCCTTTAATGTCTAAATTCGAAAAGACATACAAACTACAGCTAATCCATTACAAGCAACTCTTACCGATTACAGCTTCTTTGTCTTGCACTGTCCTACTCCTGTCTTCAGACTTTTCTTTTTCAGTAGGTTTCCTCTAACTAGTTATGGCAAGCTTTAACTGGTTACAAAGTTTTTGTTTCAATTCTCAGCACAATTGTCTTCCTTTAATTGGTTAGCTCTTCCCTTAATTGATTGAAGCTTTACTTCCTTTAACCATAATTGATTAAAATCACCTTTAATCAAGTAGAAGATCTTTGAATTTTGAACTTCTCCATTTTGGCTCCTTTTAACAGTCAACTATATTTTCAAACTTGTTTTTGGCACTTGAAGATACTAGGACCTTGTGCTCTAATTGATTAACTAGATCTCTTAATTGACTAGCAAATTTCTATTTTGCTTCAGCTTATCACACGACCACGCCTTAACTGATTAAAATTCCTTGATAATCTTTACTGAGGTTCTATTTTTATTCATTATTTGCTATTTCTCTCTTAACTGATTAAATTTCCATTAAACTTAGCAAGCTCCTTGACTTGCCTTT